CTGATTGGCGGACGCGGATTTGTTTTGATTGCCGATCATTGTACAACTCCCACACCAGGCAGTACTCCCTCCTGTCCGCGGCTAACGAGTTGACAGCCCTTTCCAGAGGAAATCCCATTGTAGTTTTTAGCAATGAAGACTAGGTGTTTCTTCCCGCTGCGGAAATAGTGTGAACCGGTTGGGCTGGACGGGTTGTTATCGCCCGAGTTGTACTCTAAGATGTCACAATCATGCCGGGCGCGCGCAAGGGGTGGGGAGCTGGGGGGCGGCTCGCAGGGCTCCTGAGTACGACAGGGCCGGCGCGCGCGGCAGACGAGCGGGGGCCTCCTCCCCGCCACCACCATGAGCTCGTTCACGACCCACCCGCCGCTGCCGGTCGGCCAGGGCTGTGCCGACACGGCCCTCGGCGCGTCGTACGTCGCCTTCCTGAACGTGCTGGTGGGCGTGATCAACGCGCGCCTCGAGCGCGAGCGCCGGCAGCGTGTGGAGCGGGCGCGCCGCGACCGCCCCGGGGAGTACGACTTCGTGGTGGTGGGCGGCGGCACGGCCGGCTGCGTGCTGGCGGCGCGCCTCTCGCAGGAGCCCGCCGTCTCCGTGCTGCTGCTGGAGCGCGGCGGCACCGAGCCACCGCAGGCCCGGGTGCCGGCCTTTGCGTCGTACGTGGTCCGGGCCAACATGGCGGAGTTCATGACGGTGAGCACCTGCACGAAGGTGTAGTTTTTTACAAGCATTTGGTTACATTGTATGCTGGCAATATGGACTAACGAGGTTTAGTTGGCAGCACTGTTATTTTAAAGGTATTGATCATTGCCATTTATTGGCGATGATCAATACCTTTTGTGGCAATGAAGCGCCTTTTTGGCAATGAACAGCGTAATGACAATAAGACTAGCTATATGTACGCCAGACCACGTCTCGCGTAACAGGCTTCGCGATATCTCACGAAACACTGGTACGCTTCGACGCGCCTAGCGCACATATAGCGAAGCCTGCGGCGCTGACACCCGAGTCAAATAGGGTATTGGTCTAGAGCGCTGAGCGGAAGTAGAAGAACCAAAACGGAAGGTGGAAAGGCGCCCGGGCCGTCCCCCTCTCCTCCACTGGGCGGAGTGGGGGAGCGCCCGGGGCGAAGTGGAGGGCAGGCGGGGAGGAGTGCGGGCGCCTTTCCATCTTCCGTTTTTGTTCTTCTACTTCCGCTCAACGCTCTAGACCAATACGGAAATAGGGCCCTTCGGCCCCCAAATACCCGGTTGGAAGGATCTTCACTTACTCTCTAGGATGTTTCTGTGTTTTAAATGTACCAATAACAGTAGTTAAACATGTGAAAAAGGAGAGAGTAAAGTGTGTTTAAACCAGAATTAAACTGAAGAATTTTGCAGTATTAGTGATGTCTAAGTATAGAATTTACTACTTTTAGTACGGAAAAACTATAGAAAAACTACTGATTTTTCGGACTACCA